TTTTTTTTTTTTTTGCAGTGTTCCTTCCCTCCCCTCCCACCCCTGGCAACCAACAAAGAAAATTTCCTTCCATATATAAACCTTTCTTTGACTTTTGACAATAATAGACTAATATAATATTTGTCCTTCTGTGATTAACTTATTTCACTCAGCATAACGTCCTCCAAGTCCATCCACGTTATGCAGTGTTTTGCAGATCCTACGTTGTTCTTTAGGGTTGCATAGTATTCCATTGTGTGCATGTACCATAGTTTGGTTATCCATTCTTCCGCTGGTAGGCACATAGGTTGTTTCCATCTTTTGGCTATTGTAAATAGTGCTGCAGTGCACATGGGTGTGCATATGTCTGTTCTTGTCCTGGCTCTCTCTTCTTTAGGATATATACCTAGTAATGGGATTGCTGGGTCAAATGGTATTTCTAATTCTAGCTTTTTAAGGAATTGCCATACTAATGCAGATGATCTTTATAACAAACCAGAGGTAATTTACCCAGATTTCTTAGAGTCTGGTCCTGTCAGGGCACTGTGAAGACATCTGTGATAGCCCGTGAAGTGAGCTCCTCAACGATTCTGCCAGAGAACATCCTGGAGCCCAAAAGTGCTGTTTAACACGAGGCTGAAGAGCAACAGAAAAGTATGGGCACTGGGATGGAGAGGATATTTTGAATTCAGCTGACTTTTAATTGACATATACTGTCCTCATTTTATCTTTCTGGCCTAGGACACACCCCTGGCCAGCTGGCAGACTTTTCTAGTGAAACTTTGAATTGTTTTGGAGCAGGTTATGTTTGATACAACCAAACACTTCAGTGAAGGAGCTATACGGAGGAGAAATCAGGAAAGGCTAAAATTACAAGAGCTGGAGGAAGAAAGGAAAAAGGAAAAGAAGAGAGAAGAAGAAGAAGCTGAAAGGTAAGGAGATCAACTTAGATGAAGAGGGTTTTTATTGGTTTGTTTGTTTATGGATATATCCCTTTGGATGACTGACTAGACTTGATAGATAACATTGAGGGGGAGGTAAAAATTGGCCCATATTGGAAAACTCCAGTGAAGGCTACAGTCTTTGTGCTGTCCTGTTATAAAACCAAAATGACAAAACAATTGCAAACAACAGACTTCAAATATGTGTGTGTGTGTTGGTCAGAGGAATAAGTAATGAAGAATAATGGGACTAGATGAAAATGCCTGGGAAGAAATGATAAAAAAGACCAGGAACTTTTATAGTGAAGATCCTAGCCTACCACATTTGAAAAAAAAAAAAATGTAGATCTGGAAAAGATTCCCTTCCATAAATGATCGGTAATCAGACTAACCCACAGGCAAGGAAGCTTGAATTTGTTGGGACCATTTTTATTTTTGGCCTAAGTTTTTTCTATGAATTTAAAGGAGCCTCTGTCTTTATTTCTTGCATTTATCATTGTTTCCCAATTTAGGCGTTTGTGCCTAAAAGAAGCTACTGGATTGTCAGATGGTTGCTAAGAAGATACAAATGGGCCAAAATTACAGGGTTCTGAAAATTTACCTCCCAGCCTCTCCCCTTGCATATCTATTCTTCCAGTCTTCCATGTACATTGTAGCTATTCCAAGGAGAAAAAGACTAGACCTCTGTATGCTCCTCACTTTTTTTGGCTGGTAGGGTGACAGGAATTACTTGGGATTCACGTGTGTGAAACCTAGAGCTTGAGCCCAGTCAAGATGGCTTCTTGTTGTTAGGTGCTGTCAAGTCATCTCCAACTCATAGTGACCCTATGTACACCAGAATGAAACGCTCTCTGGTCCTGCACCAGCCTCATGATCCTTGCTATACCGGAGCCCATCGTTGCAGCCACTGTGTCAATCCATCTCATTGAGGGCCTTCCCCTTTTTTGTTGACCCTCTACTTTACCAAGCATGAGATCCTTCTCCAGGGAATGGTCCCTTCTGACAACATGACCACAGTAGATGAGATGAAGTGTGGCCATTCTCGCTTCCAAGGAGCATTCTGGCTGCACTTCTTTTCCCAAAATTCTAGGCTGAACGTGAAGTTTAGATAAATCTCCAGCTTTTGGCTAAAGTCCTAACTCGGGTAATTGTTCCCTCTTTCCTTCTCCCCATATTCCCATGAGGGCCTAACCACAGCAGTTTTAGTTTTCAGAAAACAGCAGTGAAAAGGCCCATATTCTTCTACTTCAGTATGTTTTTATGACAGTACTCTTTGTTAAGTAATATGTGCCAAGGACCAGTTCTCACCCGTAAGATTTTCTGAGTACTTTACTTATCTTTATTTATGTATGTGAAACCAACTTACAGAAGTTTTGATCTCAGAAAACAACAACAACAAAAAAGAATTCATCACTTTGAAAGCTGAATCCAATGGTTCCTGCTTGTGGTTTGAGAAAGTGGGGCTAGAGGCCCCTTTCTTTGAATTCTGTAACTGTATTTTTTTTTCCTTTTTCCTTTTACTTTTTTACTCTGAAAACCTACACACCAAAACATTCGCCAACATAACAACTTCCCCATTTACAGCTAGGGACATTGATGACATTTTCATGTTGTTTTGATTTGCCACCATTGTTGCTATCCTTTTCCAAAATACTCCACCACCACTGGCATAAACTCAGGTCCCACAAAAAAAAACTTCCCCGTTCCCCCTCCCTCCTACCCCTCGTGACCACTAATAATCTCTGGTTTCTCTCTCTATATATATTTTTTCAACCTGTCTAGGAATTTTCCCTCCCATTCCCTCCCATCCCTGGTAACCAACAAATAAATTTTCCTTCCATGTCTAAACCTTCCCTTGACTTTTTACAATAGTGGACTGATACAATATTTGTCCTTCTGTGATTGACTTATTTCATTCAGCATAATGTCCTACAAGTCCATCCACATTATGCAGTGTTTTGTACATTCTACATTATTCTTTAGGGTTGCATAGTATTCCATCAGGTGCATGTACCAGTTTTTTTTATCCATCCTCAGTTGATGGGCACTTAGGTTGCTTCCATCTCTTTGCTTGTGAATAGTGCTGTGGTGAACATGGGTCTGCATATATCTGTTCATGTCCTGCCTCTCACTTCTTTCAGATATATATGTTACTACACCTAGTAATAGGAGTTGTGGTAGCATAGTGCCTAAGGCACTTGACTGCTAGTTCAAACCCACCAGCCACTCCTCAGAAGGAAGATGGAGCAATCTACTTCCATAGTGATACTGCCTCAGAAACCCAAGGAGGGGTCGCTATGAGTCGGGTCCGACTCGATGGCACATGCCAACCAAC